CCGAGCCCTCAGCCGAGGAGCCGCCGCTGCCCCCTGAGGAGCAACCCTGGGTGGCTGGGGGCAGCGCCAGGGGGAGGCGACTGCCCCCCGAGCCTTTGTCGGCCATGCACAGGTTGTGAAAGGAAGAATGTGTTGAGGGATAGAAGGGGGAGGGTGGTCAACGTTCAGGCAGCACTGGAGTCCTGATGATGGGCCGACTCCTGGGGGGTCTGCTGAGAAGGTGGCGTTTTAAGGAAGCTCTGTGTCCTCCATGACCCCAAACCATTCTGCCCTCACCCCTTTTAAACACACCCCTCATTACTTCCCCCACATCAACAGAACGCTTCTGCAAAGCCGTAGCCCCTTCTTCCGCCCTACGATCAGGCCCCTCCCACTTTCCTAGGCAACAAGCCCTCTCCCCATTTCCACTGCGCGCGTCTTCGTCTCTTAGCAACCCCCCTGCCCCGCCTCCTTTGCAATAAGTCCGCCATTCTGCCTTCTTACAACTCTGCTCCCTCCTCTCCGAAGAGGAAAGCGTCAAAGGGGCCGATCTCACCTTACCTGGCCTCGAGATGCTGCCGCACCTAAAGACAGAGTCTTTCGCACCTGACTCTGCTGGGCGTCGCCATCTTGACCGGAAATACGTGCAGCCTCACCCGGAAGTGCCTGACGCACCTCGCCCCCAACTTCGAGCGATATAGAAGGCAGAATCGGCTATTCGGGTTTAAACCTTTCCCTCAGGCTGTAAACCGTACTCGGCTCTGCCTACTCCCTGGCCCCGCCCCCCAGCCCAGTTCGCTCACTTTAGCGAGCCCCGCCTCCTTATTGTTATTGCAAGATCCATCCCTTGCCCCTCAAGCTTCCCTGTCACATCTCCTGTTCCCCACCCCTTCTCTAGGCCTCTCGGCCCCTCCCAGTTAAGTCCCGCCTTCTCCTAAGCCCCGCCTCGAACTGGCGCGCCAGGGGCTTGCTCTGGCCACGCCCTTTCGTAGGCCACGCCCCTGAGGAGCCACGCACCCTTCGCTGCTTCGGGTCCGTCTCGTCCTGCTTTCTGGCAGGTTTCAGGCTTACTCCCACTTTCTACTGGATCCCTGGGGTCTCACCCTAACCTATTCAGGCTTAGGCCCAGCCCCCCCCGGCCTCAGTTTCCCCATTCGTCACATGGGTTGCAGTGTGGTCGTCCCTAATGGATTCTTCCTCTGTCTCCAGGAGGAGAGGAGGCGACTCCGGAGGCCGAAGCCAGTTCCTGCCCCACAGCCTGGGTCGGGGCTCAGGGCACCCCAGGGCCAGGTTGCTGGGAAGTCTTGGGAGCTTAGTCGGCTGGGCTGTGGGCCAGTCGGGGCTGAGGAAGGCAGCGGTTCTCAGTCTGGTTAGAGGCCCTCGCCCTCGGGAATAGGGCAGCAGGGGGCACGGAGCACCTATCTGTGTAGGTGGTGGTTTGGGCGGGGTGGGAAAGAGCCCGGGTTCTGTATGCGGTGAGGGCTGAGGCTGTGGGACTCGCATACTAGTTTCCTGTTGCTGCTGTTAACAAACTACCAAACCTTCCTGGTTTAAAACAACAAGGCATTTATTATCTTACGGTGCTGGAGAACTCACTCCAAAGTGAGTTCCTTCTAAGCTGCTGGAGAGGGTGTTCTCTGCCTTTTCCAGCTATTGGAAGCTGCCTCGGTCCTCTGCTTGCAGCCACACCGCAGCACCTCCTCTGAGACCGGGACTGGAGTCCTCATTTGTGCCTCTCGAAAGGACCTTTTGACATTGGGCCCACCCGGAAATCAGGATGCTCCCCCATCTCAAGATCCATAATTACATCAGCAAAGTTGGAATTCGAATGTGGGCATCTGCTACAATATATGAAATTATGTATCTCATTGTATGATACAGCACGCAGTTGTATATGACATGATTTCTTACATGTGAATATATAAATAATACACTGATGGCCTAGACGGAATCTCCCACGCACCTTAGAAAAGCCTTCAACTTTACAGTAACGAGTAAGAAGTGTGACTGAAACTTCCCATCTGCATTGAGACATTTCAGAGCAAAAGGAGTTCCTATTAATAATTACACATGCCAGGCATGGTGGCTTATGCCCGTGATCCCAGACACTTGGGAGACTGACGCAGGAGGGTCACACATTTGGGGCCAGCCCAGGTAACTCAGTAGGACTCAGTCCCAAAATTTGAAGAAAGAAAAATGTAAAAGCCCAGGTGCTGTGGCTCAGTGGTAGAACACTTTGTCACGTGCAATGTGCTGGGTTTGATTCCTAGAACTACCAGAAGAAAAAGAAAAGTCACAGATGAGGGCCGCCACAGATGAGGGCCGCTGAGTAGATTTGGGCAGGCCCAGGAAGCTGGGGCTCATGGGTAGCTCCATGGGGCTTAGATGGGTTAGATGGGTGCTGACCACCTTTGGACCCTGGCAGAGAGAGGCCTTAGATTATGCAGGAACCCAGTGGGGGCCTGTGGTTCAGCACACGGGGCGTGCTGGTAGGGATCCGTGGGTCTCACTGGAAACTGCACAAAGATTTCAGGGCCTGTGACAAGCACAGAACACATGAGGGTCTACAGGAACAGGCAAGGATCCCAGGGAACTCTGGAGGTTTCTCTGTGCAAGCAGGAGAATCCCAGGTCCCCCACACCCTGACCAGACCTTGCCCAAGGAGACATGGGCAATTGAGCTTGGGTGACACCCACAGAGATGAGTGTTGGGTCAGCAGTTCCAAAATTCTTCCCCCACCCTGCCTTCACCCCTCCAGTGTATCCGCATGTCCCCCGGTCCCCACACGTGTGCACCTCTGCTCTGTCAGTCCCTCCATTCCGCTCTCTGGCCATGCCAGGTTCTCCAGGTTCGCTCCCCTGTCCCCCTGTGCCCCGGCTCCCACTGCCCCCGTTGCTGTCCTGGCTCTGTGGCCCCCAGCTTTCCCCCGCCCTGCCTGTGCCTCTGGTGGTCAGCATCTCTCCTGCCTTCTTATCTCCAGGCCGTTCTTCTTCGGTGCCTGTCTCCACCCCATCCTGCCTTCCACCCTCCCTGCTCATCCCGCAACCTTCTCTCCCCAACTGCACCCTCCCTCCTGCTGC